CATTTTAATATTAAACGAATTGCTAACCACGATCACTTCTGATGCTAGATGGAAACAACGCCGTCTACAGCGGAAAAAAAAAAAGAGAGAAGGCGTACTATAAAGTGTAAAACAATATAATATTAATATATAAATAACAAATTGAAAATGTTAGTACATATAAAACTTTTGGGAATACACAGATTTAAAAAATAAAAATAATTGCGTGTACACACAAGTATGAAGATAAAAAATCCATCTATTTAATTTACCTTAGACATTATTTCAAACTTTGCATGAATTACATACTATGGTACCAGGCAGACTCTAATGTTCTACATGATCACATAGTTCATGATGTTTGAGCTTGGAATTCTTCAGCTGATGCAGAGAAGCGTATGGATGGTTTGATCCTGGCATTCTCCATTTCAGTTTCTAAATATTGTTGCGTCATCGAGATCATGTGATTCTCACGCCCTCTAGTTTCTAGAACTATCTTGTTCCTTCATGAATGCCCTAGCATTTACTAGATAGGGTAGTCTGATATATATATAAGAGGGTGACAACGTGACGCAATAATGTGTGTGTAGATAGTGAGTAATTGAACTGCAGTCAGAAGTATTATTGAAGTTCGTTGATATAGCGTTTTTTTTAACGCGATTGTTGAAAATAAGTGTATCGTAAAGTTGTATTCGGAAAGAATAAACCAGTTTTATTAAGTAAGGACTTGTGTCGCTAAAGTTTCGTCGGAACGAAGTTACGGAAAGTTAATTAACAAACGGAGACGTAACAATATTTTATCCTAATATTCATGTTCTTTTCTAGGTCATTATCGTTATAGTCTTTTTGTAATTAATTAACTCCCTTTTTACTTTATAGATGCCTTTTTGTTTTCTTTGGCCTCTTTGGTTATATTTATTTTTGCTCATAATTGTGTCTGTAAAGTTTATGTCTTGTTATTGTAACCCCTTTCTAAACTTCCTTTCTCTTTCTTCTTGGTGTGTCTGCTGATGGCTCAACAGTAACTATGAAAGCTTAAAACGCTAAAATTGGGGTTAGATACCGATGGTGGGTAGAACACAGATAGCCTATTGTGTGGCTTTATGCTTAACAAAAACAAATTTGGTCTTCTTTCAATTTTTTTATCTCTTGCTTCTTTTAATTTCATTTCACTTTTACAAATCATCATTCAATCCACTGTTTCATTATTTTCAGCAAATTTTCGATCTTTCTTCAACAAGTGTTTTCATCTTGAAGTACTGTCGGTATGCTATTTTAATTTTACCAAATTAAGCCATCTTCTGACACCAATGTTGTAATATTTTTTATTGGTTGGTAGGTTCTTTCAGGTTGTTCAGAAAAAACAACAACTAATGCCAGACTCAGTCCACTTAATGATAACAAAAACATTATATTTTTTATTATATATATTCTATAAGTTTTCATTAATACTTACTGACACTCCTAAATTCATAGTAGACACTAATACAATAACTTCACTTACTTGCTAACTTCTGTCACATGTAAGACACTTTCTTGTATTGTCAGTACTTTGCAAACAGAAAATCAAAATTCACAAAGTTGAAGTAATAGACAAACTGACTAACCAAACTCTATAACTTTATATTGTACTCAAACGTAACTCGCATTTTTATATTACTCATATCGTTTCCTAACTTTCAAAAAGGTTTCTTCTGTAATATGCAGCGCCCTTACGGCTAATTGTTGGAGTTTCAATTATACTGCACCAAATGTATTTAGTGGAGGATTTGCAGTGATTTACTGAAGAATATTCAAAGAAAGTGCTCTAAATCACAACAGATACATCAAAACTCACAATCAGAGGAATAAACGAATATGCTGGAGACATTTTTATTCTTCTTTGAATGAACATTTGCCTCCTTCTTTTGCTTGGAGTTATTTTTGCAGATGATATTTCTATTTGGAGACAAAATTGTAATTTTTGTTTCACATGCTTCACTCTTTAAAATACCGTGAACTTAGTCCAAACCTGGGCTGATACTCGGGAATTTTCCTTCTTTGAATCGAACTGTACGTATAGGATTATTACACATAAAAATAACCACGGATATACTGAAACTTTGTATGAAGAAGATGGACATAATCTTAGTAATAAAAATCAAATACCTTAGAATGATACTGAGTAATCAATGGAATTTATAATTACTGCCTTCTGTGAAACGTATTAGTCTTCTTCGAGCTGTCGATGGTACGTTGTATGGAGCTGATCGTTGTACTCTTTTGTTTTAATTCGCTCATAACTGGATTATGGCTATGCTCTTTATGATTCTGTTATTTTTCATTTGATTCAGAAACAATATGTATCTATGTGGAAGCCATGACTTATAACTATACCCCTGTTATATAAATTTCGGTTTCTTAGGCATCTTTACCCCTATAGCGACGGTATATGATAGGCCAGTGGGATTTAAATAGGTTACAACGTCCTGGGACCTCTACCCTTCCATTCCTTGATAACCTCTCCTATCCTCATCACTATCGATGGCTTCACGTACCATTTTTCTAGTGTTGATATGTTTTATTCTTTTTTTTAAGCTGCTTCTCTCACTCGTCTTCTCTTAGATCTTCTGATTGTACGTGTTTTTCCTCCTCTTCCTCTGCGTTATTACTGTTCACTTTAGTATTTCAGAACTTCCTAAAATGATCTAATTTGCATACATTATAATTTGTTTCTGACACCATTAACCAAAACTTGTACTGTACTAAAGAACAGACATCAAGATATAGATATTATATTCACTATTATGACTGTTTACTTGTCCGAATTATACTCTACATAAAACTGACCAAGTGACTTAGCCATAGTGCTTCTTATGCAGGTCTTCTTTGAAGACTATTCAGCATGTGTTTCTTTCGTGTCCTGCTCATGCTATAGAGGGCTCGGCATGGCCAGGTGGTTAGCAATCATGCTATAGAAAATCAATTTCTCGAAACTGTAAAACTCAGATCCATTTAACATTTTCATTAACTATCTTGTTAGAGCTCCTCAGTGGCACAGCGGTATGTCTGCGAATTTACAACGCTAGAGACCGGGTTTCGATACCCGTGGTGTGCAGAGCACAGATAACCCATTGTGTAGCTTTGTGCAGAAATTCAAACAAACAAACCTTGTTAGAAGGAGTCCACGTGCCTTTAAATATTAATCCTACTGTTACTAAAACTGTTACTAAGTTTCTTAAATTTGTCTTTTTGCTTAATCATATTTAGTCTTCAGTTTAGATCCCCTCCTCCTCTAGACATTAGTTACTCACTTATTTATATATGTGTCTTAGTGTACATAAATCTACTGGCATTGGAAAACACCAAAGATTTGATGTTGTTTGAAGTTAAGCACAAAGCTACACATTGAGCTATCTGTGCTCTGCCCACCACGGGTATCGAAACCTGGATTCTAGCGTTGTAAGTGGCCTTTGAGCGACCTTGTGGCCATGATAAATATTCTGGTTAAACGTATAGAGTCGTATATGTATCTTTTAGTAGAAATACTAAGCCACGTTACACATGATAAAAACTACGTATTAATTTTTACGTTTGTCCTTCATTTCGGTAATTTAAATATTCAATTCACCAGTTTGCTTGTTTGAAGTTAAGCACAAAGATACACAATGGGCTAGTTATACTATGTCCACCACAAGTATCGAAACCCGGTTTCTAGCGTCGTAAGTCCGCAGATATACAGCTGTGCCACTGGGGGGCACACCAAAGAGATTTGTTTGTTTGTTTGTAATCAAGCACAAAGCTACACAACGGGCTATCTGTGCTCTGCCCACCACTGGTATCAAAACCAGGATTCTAGTGTTGTAAGTCCGCAGATATACCGCTGTGCCACTGGGGGCACCAAAGAGAAAGAAAACCATACAAGCCAAACACTAGATAACTTGGAGATTTGAGTTGTATATTGCTTGAAGCCATGTGAAAGATTATAAGTGTTGTGAAATTAATCAGACTTTGTAAGTGTTGTATATTTATATTATTTGGATTTTGTTACAATTTACAAAGTTAGGTTTTGCACCTCTGGTTCTTTTTCCTAATTTTTTATGCTAAGTATATTGCTAAGTAAGAACTTTGCAGTTCAGTTTTGTTATTTGTAAGAGTCTGTATCGAGCATTTTCGAAGTGTGAGTATATTCTTTCTAGCTTGTGAAATTTCTAATAAATATAAAGTTGATTTAGGAATCCCGTTTCGATTATCCTTGATATAGAATAAATGATACGCCACGACAACTAAAACAAAGCTAATTTACTATTATTATTTTGTAGTTGTATTGTGAAATGAAAACACTGTATGTTGTTGATTTCTTTTGTTCACCAAAACATGAATTTCAGTAAAGAAAAGATGATGTAAGGACTTAATCTATTGTGACGGCATGTTATCCAACCACACAAAGTAAGTTAGTTTAGTAGGGGCGATTATAGAACTACACATCTAAACCCAACATTGTATGATGGTCAGAAAATTTTCTTTACTGTTTTTTTCGTCATAGTATTCAGTTAATGTAAAGTTATTGCATATACTATGAAGTACAAACATATATATTTATTGCAGACACTATTAATATATCTGACGCAATGTAGAGCAATAAATAACAATGATTATTAAAAACAACAACTGATAAAGATCCATATAGATAGTACAGTATAGCTAAAAATAATGTAATTTCACAAAAATAAGCAATAGCAGATGGAACACACTTTATATTTATTTTGAATTGGTGACAAGATCTCGGGCCTAGGTTCTTCATCAGTTATTGCCTAAAATTGTTAAAAAAACTAAACGAAAAGCAAATTCTAATGGAGATAACAGAATTTTGGGTTGTTTTGTGACACTTTTCCAAGGTGGTGCCTGTATTATGATCTGGTCAGAACAGATTCACAACAATCTAAATGTCATTTTCCTAATTCATTTTAAATGAATCAATTTTTCTGTGACCTATCGCCCCGCTATCTAGTGAGAGTAGTTAAACTACTGAGTTAGGTGAATTGTACCCCGATACGTTTCTTTTTCTTTTTACTTTCGCTAATAGCTTAGGGAAAATTAATACTATAAATAACGCACAAGTTTATCATTACACTTATTTTGTGTAAAGAACAAAACAATGACCAAGCACGAGCGGTAGATGTGCACACATCTATTACGCAAAGGCGCCAACATAAAGCAAAATATAACAACATACTATGGCGCGGCTCGTAAGTGATATTGAATAAAGCAACCCTACTATAGAAAACAACATCGCTGGAGAAAATAATTAAATAAACTGTTACGCGGACGGCAAAACATTAATGTTACATTTGAAATAAAGCAGGTATTAAAAACTGGTAGGCATGCACGCAATCGTTCCGGCTGGTTTTGGAGTGAGCAGTTTCAGTATATTTTAACCATATAA